TTACCTCTAGATGTACTATACAGCATATCTTACATGCGCCCTTCCTGTTAGGGTACAGTTGAAGTGGCTTCAATGAACTTTAATTTTTTTCCCCCCCTCTTCAAACAATTGGCATGCTTATGGCATTTCTCCAAGATTCAGATCTCCACACTCAAAGTGACTGTCCTTCCACATTCCCACATTGAGAGGCAGTTGTGTTTTTTTCCTTAGAGAACACTAGACATTGTTCACTGAACGTCCCTGTAACTCAAAGTTCAAACTCTTATTGAACCATTATTCTTATTGTAGTATTTCTTTCATTCAGAACACAAAGGAGGATTTATTTTCCAGGTAGAAGTCATGCCCTTGAACTCTCCTGTCACAGCAGATTTCACCCGGGATTATTTTATTTACAGCTTTCTATGTAAATCGATCTGCTTCATGCATTTTGCTTTTGGTAGTCTGTCACAGAATCCTTTGGGAAGTTTCCAGTCTCCCCTCATACATTAGGATGCACAGGAGAGTGATGAAGAACAACAAGTAGGACATAAGGCAAGAATCCAGTATCCTCACTTCACAAAGAGTTACACTATGTCTGTGAATGACCTTTGACAGGGCACTTTTCCAGTACAGTTTCTCCCCTTGGGTCAGAATCATGGTTAACAGTGTCTTGTTAAGCCTTTCATTTTGATTGACCCATTGTGGAGGTTGGGATTATGTGCCGAGCCACTGCAACACCATTATTTCAATTTCGCAAACGTCTCCCCTCCCCCAAGCCTTAGTCTTTTGTTGTGGTAGGTCTTGATATGAATCCTGAAAGTGACAGCCAGCGTAAGTACAGTAACACCAACAGGTAAACCGTGGCCTCACACAGACCACATTTTAAACTTGCCCAAAACTGAAATGGCAGCAAAATTACTCGTGCATATAAGTTTTAGAAATGTACCATGGAAATGTATACTGCCGTATCCACATCACACTACCAAACAAACCATCTCCATTAAAGACACAGAACGTGCATACTGAAAACCAGAAAACGCAAACAAAAGATTTTGCGATCTTTTTCTCTCCTGTACAAGCCAGCAGCCTCACACTGTTATCACCTAACGGCACGTGATATTTACTTTGTTCTTTTAAAAATATATGTTTCCATTTCTTCCTAAATGCTACTTTATACCTTTTAAGACAACCGACACCACCCAGTTCAAGCGCAAGACATGAAACGCGAGAATCCACCGGCCTCGGGCAGATACAAACAACTGCTTCCGCTTCCGCTTCCGGTTCCGGCAGGTGTGGTTTGATGAGACCTCGAAGGGTTAAATAGTCGTAGATTAGTCATCACAGTTAACGATTTTTACATTTTTGATACGATCAGGATTTGAATTCGGTAACAGCAGTCATTTATATTGTCTTTAATGAATTTAACTGGAAAATTGAAGACTAATGATGATATGGACAGAGACATCGAGGAAGGTAATGATGTGTCCGTCTGGCCAGTTTATTTTGATCTAACCTGACGGATCACTTTAATTAAACGCGGCTGTTTTTGTTTGCTAACGTCACGTAAATTAATTGTATTTTCGATTTAAGTCTGTAGACTGATTTCTGTACACTACATTTACTATCTTTTAAAAAAGTTTGGATGAGGGGAGACGCGGTATTCAGGTTCAAGTTCATATAAATACGAAATATCGTTCCTCTTGGTCCACGGGGCAAATAGAGGTTAATTCCACATTAAAAAAATAAATAAAACGATAACAAATACGACTTGGAGATTGAGCAGGAATACGAGGAAAGGCGGCAGGAAAGGAGGATTTTGAACAATGATGAAACGCTATAGGTCACAAGTGGAAACTACGCGCCAGTGTATTTAAGTCTGACAGCAAGAGGCACTTTACACGAAGGAGTGTGGGAGCGTGGAGCTACCCTGCTAGTTGGTTGTACGTTAAATGTTGGCTTCATGCTTTTAACGGATGGATTAAGTCGTTGGTTAAAAAAGTAACATTTAAAGACTTCCTCTGAAAATGTACTGTGGCGTTTCTACTATTTTTATGACAAACCGATGACTTCCCAGCCACCTGAAGAAGACTTCGCAGGCGACATTTCTCCTTCTTCAATGTATTATTTCTCTTTACTCCTCAGCGTGGGATTAACCTTTACTTTTCCCATCTAAATTAAATCATGTAGTGAGAATGTTATGAATAATATCCACTGGTATCATCTGATCACTTCCGTTTACATACTGGAAAAGTCACAAATGCCCCGTTTACACGGTGAACGGAGTGTCCCATCTAAGTGTTCGCTTCCCACTGAAAATCGGGTATCAATTTCTTCTTGGATTTTGGTATATCATTTCTTGTAGAAAGTGCGTTTTGCAGCACTAATACTTAGCAGCGTTTAACCTACTTTTTGTTTGATCGATTTCGTGGGCAGTTCTCTTAAATCCCGCTTTTGTTTTAGTTTTTTTCAGTTAGATCCTAAACATTTTGAATACACACTAGCCCTCCATCTAGACCTTGTACAATATTAAACTCAAAATGATATTAATCATATTGATATTAATGATATTGTCTTTTCGATAAACGACCGCAAGGAGTTTGCGCATGCGTTTCGTTTGTGTCGTACCTTCTCCGTACGTGAGGATTTATTTAATCCAGACCTAGCGAAATGTCCCAGGTCCAGTCTTCATTCATAGCCATGTTATCCCCTTTCACACGTACAAAATGTGCACATGTAGGCAATGCATTTTACGTGGTGGGATATATACTGTATTATAATAATATGTATAGAGCAATATTACAGGTCAGTTGTTGTTGTTGTTGTTATTAAAGCCCATACAATGCAAATGGTTGTTTTATCATCTAAAACATGATAAAAATATCAAATTAAATAAGAAACACAAGTGGTTAGAAGTCCAATAGAAGATAAATGATGATTAGAAAATGAAGCAGACACAGACAGCATTTTAATTAAAGCCTTCCTGAAAAGAAAGGTTTTGAGTTTGGGTTTGAATACACTTAGGGTGGGTGACTCCTATCCCAGAGCTTTGGAGCCTGTAGCACGTACTGTTAACGAGCTTGGGAGACATAATGATGACCGTAATCAGATGCAGCGAAAGATTGCAGGGTTTTCTGGTACAGTTGAAGTCGACAAAGGGCAATATTTCTGAAATGGCAGAATTATGCTTTTACTATATTTTGCACTTCAGGGTCAAAAGTCAAGCCAGGATAAAATATCACTCCTAAATTCTTCAATTCGGATTGAAGTTCAAGTACAGTGCCATCTAGAGTTCCTGCACTGGCTTTACACAGGTGATGGGAGGTGTCAAGTACAGCACCTTGTCCTCAGTCTTGTCATAGTTTAAGTGAAGGATGATGTAATTAGGGAGTGCAGAAACAGCTAACTCAAAGTCAGATTTAGTATGGACATAGATTTGGGTGTCATCAGCTTAGAAATGATCATTCAGACCAAGTGATTTTAATATCTGACAGAGTGGGTAATCATAAATGTTGAATATCATGGGGCCCAATATCGAGTCCTGGGAAACATCAGACTCAACAAACCCAACTTCAGGACATTTAAAATAGTCCTATAAAGCTACAGCCATGCATAATCCATAGAAGATTCTAAATACTTGTTTAGCATAAGAAAAGTTAACCATTATCTCATTGAAAAATTAATTAAAATGCCGTCTTAACTGAATTTTTCATCCAGACCTTTTAGAAAGTGGGTATAAAAGGAACTTATTGATTACAGGTTCACCCACTTAAAACCAGGTGCTGATACACTAAGATGTTGTGTAAGAGAAATTAAAGTAAGATCTTGATTTAAAGAGGTGAAATAAGATCTTATGTAACATTGCAGTGAATGTGGTTGGTTAGCTGGAACCAGCTTTCCTCAGACATGTCTAATGCTAGACAAGGCAGTCTGCTGTGCGGAGAATTTTACACCTGCCAGCAAACACAATAATAAGGAGAAATGCCTTGTTTAGACTGACAAGATCAGTCATGTTAAAGTTTCAGTCTTCATTTTGGAAGAAAAATTACAATAATCTGAGGTTTTATCATATTTAAAAAAGAGTGACTTGAATTGTGGTGCAAACAGGCATTCAGTTAGTTTTTTTTTAAACTGAAGTAGTCTCAAATGAGGGCTTAGAAAATGGATTCTGATATGACAGATATGAAGATTCTTGAATATTAGGGTGGTACTCACACCCTTGAATTATTTTGAGAAAACGCACAGCGAATGTGTCTGTTCTGGATTGGAATTCTCAAGATGCTCGGTCTTCCTCCCACTCATCCTTATTTTCAGGAGCAAGCATGCAAACCTGGTACCGCAGGACAGCAGAGCTAGGTCTGGCCCTCGCTATCATCCTTAATAAACCGCCAGAGCAAAGTGGGAGGCAGTACACAGAATATCTGGTCACCAGGCTTCAGAGCAGAGATGAGAGCTGGAAGGCGAAAGCAGAGGAACTTCAGGAGAAAGTATTACAACTACAACAGGAACTCTTTCTCACCAAAATGCTCTCTAGACCAGAAAGCAGGGGTGAAAGAGGTACAGTACTTTTCCCTTTACTTGTTAGTGCTAAATGTAGAGAATGTTTTGTGAGATTACTGGCTGCTTAGTTTAAATTGCTTTAAGTATCACTATTTTATATACAGGTACATTTGAAAGGGCATACAGTACATGTAATAGCAATGAAGCCAAAACAGACTTAAGTTCAGTTTAGTTTATTTGTCATATGCACGAGTGCGATGCAATGCTTATGCTTAAGCATGTATTAATACATATTAATATATATTACTCTAAGCTTACTGTAGCAGGGTATTCATAGCTACAAGAATTAAACATGCAAGTGGCAAATCACTGAGCTGTGTCTGCATAATAGAAAGGACAGTAATGACCTTTGAACACAGGTGAATCTTTGCTTTCACAGACTGTATGTGATGCCTTTCTTTAAATGGGTCTTGAAGTTTGTGCAGCTTCACTAGGTATTATTTAAGCACCAGTACCCAAACAGCCACGAGTCATTGTTAAATTGATCTGATTAAGTCAAACCAATTAAATTGATTAAGAAATTGATTAAATAAATGGAAGCCATTGGACCCCTCTAGCCTCTTTGGTATATAAGAGCCGGTTTCTTGAAAGAAGCCAGGGCATCACCTTCAGCAACATGGCTGAGTACAGTGTGGTGAAAAAGTACACCCCCTTAAGATTTTATGATGTAACATATTTAGACACATTTGACCTTTGCATAGTCCACATCAAGTACTAATAGTAGATAAAATTGACCTGGTTTCACCAATAACACACACAAAGTCTACTTTTCCATCTTTTATTTTACAAAACATCAGGCAGCATTCAATATCTATGTGTGAAAAACCTTGATTCACTGACTTGTGACACCCCCTTTGGCAGCTAGATGTTTGAATTAAATGTTTCCTGAAAGAGTTGATCAGTCTCTCGTATCGCCTTGAAGGAATTCTGGCCCACTCTTCCTTAGAGAACTGCTTCACTTTTGTGTTGTTTTAGGGCTTTCGTGTATGCAATGCTTTCTTTAAGTCCTGCTACAGCACCTCTGTGGGGTTTAATTAATTAATTAATTAATTAATTAATACACTTTAATTAATAATTGCCTACACATCCACCTGGATGATGCGATGGCAGCCATAGTACACCAGTACACTCACTACACATCAGCTCTCAGTGTGGAGGAGAACAGAGTGATGAAGCCAGTTCATAGAGAGGGATTAGGAGGACACCATGAGTAAGGGCCAATGGGAAATGTGGCCAGGACACCAGGGTTACACCCCTACTCTTTTTGAGAAACACCCTGGGATTTTTAAGGACCACAGAGAGTCAGGACCTTGGTTTCACGTCTCATCTGAAGGACGGCGCCTTTAGGTCTGTACTCTGCATTTTCCTCTAGAACAGTCTGGTACACTGTGGAATCAGCGATAAAATCAAGGACAGCAAGACGTCCAGATCCTGAGTCCGCAAACGAGGCTCAAATCACGCCCACCACTGTGCTTGATGGCTGGTTCTTCTGGTCTAAACAGTGTTTGGTTTTCGCCAAACATGTTGTTTTGCATTATGGCCAAACAGCTCCACCTTTGAGTCAGCCAGTGCACAAAGATCTCGGATATCTTATGATGGCAGATTTTTAAAAAATAAATAAATAATGACTGTCTATTTTTTGTGGTATAGGTTAAATTAAGTTTTATCTGCTGTTATGACTTGGTGAGGACGAGGTGAAGGCCAAATATGTTTAAATATGTTAAACCATAAAATCTTAAGGGTGTTTTCTTACCTTTTCAACACACTATAGCTTGTTTCATACTCCTACATCTCTTTTGGTAAAGATATGCCTTCTGTTCTGTGTTTTAAATGTCCACAGTTCAGCATTTTCAACCTGTCAGTGTTGGACTTTCCTTATTCCTTTAAACCCTGGAATATATCTGGTTACTTCGCTTGGGACTGATTCCAAAGCAGACATATTTTGTTTGTAACATGTCCACAATATTCTTAATGTGTTTTCCAAAGGGCATCTCTAAATTAGTAACTATACTGTATATCCTAAAATTGTCTTGTTAACTGTTTCCCCATATTGAAAAACATCTCAACATAAAAGTCATTTTCATAAGTAACCTCATCAGGCTCTACATTTCCCATGTTGTGTGCATAGTTTGTCTTTACTACAGTCCCTGCAAGCAACACCCTGTACTTGTCTATGTTCAGGGTTAGATCATCGGCCAAGTCTTTGCCCATTCTTGAGAATTTTATTAAAATCTTTGTTTATTTCTTTTGCGGGCTCTACAATGTTTGCTTATCCTCACGCTTTGGTATCATCTGCAGACTTCCCTCGATTACTGATTTGGAATTAGGAACAGCAGTGGGTTTAGTACCGATCCCTTTGGCACTCACTTTTTTTCCTTCATCACCTTCCCCTGTAAAAAAGGTTCACTTTCAGTTTAAAGATGATAGGCGTGTGGGGAAATGGGGTGCGTCCAAACTGAGAATGGGGTAAAAGAAGACAAAAGGTACAGATAATGTTGAAAAGGGAGTATGATGATGTAAATAAGGGAGTTATCTGATAGTTATAAAGCTTTATACAGTATGTAGCTGTACTTTAAATAAAGTGAATGCTTTGAGTAGTCAATTGTAAATGACCTTTCAAGAAATCCCGTATCTAACAAGATGATACAGGTGAATTGTTTAAGAGCAGCAGTGGTTAGAATTGATGCCTTGCACTCCATTCCTTGGCTGCTACCTGTGTGGAGTTTGCATGGTCTCTCCATGTTTGCGTCGGTTTCCTCCAGAGGCTCTGGTTTCCTCCCAAAGTCCGAATACAAGCTGGTTGGTTAATTGACTTCTTTACAAATTCAGCGTGTGTGTCTGACAGCCCTGTGATGGACAGGCGGCCCGAAGGGGTGTATCCTGCCTTCTGTGATTTGCTTGCCAGGATAGGCACTGACTCCCCCTTGCATCCCTGCAACGGGATCAGCGGATTAGAAAACGGGCGGATGTTTAATGGACTGCTGAAGTCGGAACGACAACACCAGGCCCTCCGGGACCCGAGGTTGGGGCTCTTGTGTGAAAGACGAGCCAGGCCCTCTTGCTGAAGGCTTCCACCTTTTTGTTTCAGGAGAGAGCTCCGTGGAAATACTGTCTCAAGACGTCCTGTGTTCCACGAGCCACGAGCCGAATCCGGAAGAAGATTCCGGATGCGACACCGGAAACATGGGGAGCCTGCCCCCGAGTCAGGAACTCGGGGACCTGGCCGTGCAGCAGGCCTCTTCGAGGCGCGAGGTCGCGTTCGAGGCTTGGAACTTCGAAAGCAAGAAGGTCAAAGCCGTTCATTTCCACACCAAGTTTTTACGAAATGTACTGGGTCTCAGAAGAATCAAGGAGTTGGGAAACGCAACACCCGACCCCCTTGCTTCTGACCAGAACTATAGCATAATAAGAGATTCTGTCTGCCAGTTGCTGGACTGCGTGTCGTTCTTGTACCGAGACTGTGAGGCTGTCCTTCCCAGCTCGCTTCTCCTTGAGGCTGGCCAGGCTGTTGCAGGTGCAGTGGAACAGGGGACGTCGTGTGAGCAGGCCTGCACCCAGTTTGTGAAGAAAATGGAAGAGTTCCTGAAGGAGTTTACGAGTTTAATACTGGAAAATAACCAGCTCAATAGGGTAAGTGTGATTAGAAAGCTGGTTCTTTTTAGTTGCTTTTGAAACGACATCTAGGGTGTCACTTGCACTGTCGTTTTTAATTTTCTTTGCCCCCCTCCCAAAAAAGTATTTTTTTTCATATAAGATGAGTATTTCAATCTGGTTAATATCAATATCATTTTATACCGTGCAAATGTAAAATCTTTTAATACCGTCTATTAATCACTTAGCAAGTTTTAATGGCAAGTCTTGATTAAGTGCCACTAATTAAAGTGTGTACTCTGGTGGAGGGTATTTAAGGAATTGCTATCAGAAATGTGTCTGATAAGGAGAAGCATCAAAGCTGTGTGATAATGCTGTATTAAAAGTGCTGTAAAAGCCTTGAGATTATTATCGGACGTAGTGAAGACTTGGAGGAAATGACAAAGCTGGGCTTACACAGTGTGTTAGGTCTTCATAATGTCTGGGAACGATAAGAGTTATGTGACATTTGACTAAACGATTCTGAGAATCTCCAACATTTCCACATATAACAGGGCCTTCAGAGTTTGATGTTAAACTTAGAAAATACGATGCTTTTCCTCACTCTCGTTTTCACACAGCTGTGTATAAAAGATATGTAGCTGTCTCTTATTCTTATGTTTTTCTCAGAAAATCTTTCAGGAAAAAGAAAATCTTAGAATTCAATTTCAGAGACTCAGAAATGTTACTGAAAAACATGGTTATTTGAGAAGTTGCTGTTTTATTTCAAATTAAATCAAATAAAAGTTTATTTATCAAATGCACAACAATACACCGTGCAGCAGTAGTTGCTGGCAATGAAATGTCTATTTTAGTAGTTTAATTTAATTTTAGTAGTATCCTTGTAGTACTTTGTCGACATGACTGTTAATCCTGGCATCTTGCCACTGAATTACTGTTTTGCTTGTCTTGGGAAACAAAAACCTGAAATCTAGGTTTCGAAACTAGATAGCAACCTTACCTCTCAGTCTTAATAAAGCATACATTTTCTTACTGTAAAATTATGAACTGAAAAAGGTTTTTTTTCTATAGTTCGTTACCTGTTGTGAATCTTATGTTGTCTTGTGTCTGTCTGCTCCACCGTCTTGTGTCAGATGGAGCCTGTCAACCCCCCCCTTAAAATGGAGGTTCATCTGTCTGGTTGGGCTTATAGTATATAACTTATAAACTAGATTCAAGTTTTGTAATAACCTGTAGGTTTTTTGTTCTGTTTGCCTTTTTGTTGTGGTTTGGTTTCCCTTATTAAACCTGCACTTATTTTGTTCCTTTTCTGATGGATTGGCATTTTGGCATTCTTTTTTTTTACTTGGCTGACTGCGCACGAGCAAGTCACAGGGCGCTTGTGGCTCACTGACTTGAGGATCTCATCCTGCTGTTTTTTGAAAGACGCTAAGGTATAGGCGCTGGGTGTGATAGGTGGCTTGTTCCAGACTCCCATAACCTGTTTTGTAAGGAAGTGGCTCCTCTTCATAGATGTGAAGGCACTGTCCCTTTACTTTTAGTTTGTGTACTCTGGTTCATGTATCATCGCTGATTCTGAGGAAGTTCATAGGGTTTTTTCTTTGTCAGAGTCTTTGAGGACGTTGAATACTTAAATCAGGACCTCTCGCAGTTTTCTTTGTTCTTGTCAGTTCTTTTAACTTGTCAGAGTTGGACATTCCTTTCATCCCAGGAATCCTCTTCTTTGGAGTGATTCGAGAGAGTGTCGAGTTGTTCCCAAATGTGGCCCAAAATAACTATAATTTATTAACTTCCCTTCCTAAAGGAAGTAAATTAAGCAGCAATGATGTTGAGTGAGTTCCTTGGTCAAGATCATTGTTGATTTTATATTTGTAGCTTATTTTTGCTACCTGCATATAAAACTCTTCAAAGGAACACATTTTTCAGCATGGAATAAACCTTTAACTTGTTCCTTCGCAACCTGTGCATGCAGACGCAGCTCCCAACTTGAACTACTATAAAAGTCTACACTTTTGTATATTACATTTAATCCCAGTCTTGAAATTGAATTTCTTTAACGGATTCTACAGTGTTTACTTATCCTAATTATTTAGTAACTACTTTACCCACTGGTGCAGAATCCAGAGCATTGAAAGAAATCCGGATGAGCTGTGGCCCTTATACAGATCCCTTTGGAATTCTACTTAAAACTGCTTCTGTGATCTCACTGCAGTGTGTTCTTTGTGCCAGATATAAATAAGTGGCATACAGGTAGTAGACAAAAGATGGCGACACCATTACAAAGCCATTTGATTGAGTGTTGTTTCACCTCGTGTGGCCATTAAGGCCTGTATGCACCTTCCCAGTGTATCAGCTCTCATCTGGCTGATGTAAGCTGCTGTCACAGGCTCGATTAGATTCCGATAACCTGGAGACTGAGAAGAAGATTAGGACGTGTGGAGAGCATCAGTTTCAGGCTCATCAGACCTCTGGGCTCAGAGGATGAGGACATTGTCATTCTGGAAGACGCCCCTCGCGACAGGAAAGAGCTGCTGCAGTATGGGGTGAAGATGATCATTCGGAACCATGAAGCTGTGATTAGCTTTGACCTGGCTTTTGAAGGGATAGGTGCATCCACAACCAGGAGAAATGAACCAGTCAATTGGTCTGAGGAGCTGGTCTCCTGTTTTGCCCTGCAAAAACTTCAGGATCATGATATCTGCGTATTGAATTAATACGCAGATATCATGATCCTGAAGTTTGTGGTTCTGCCCACTGTTGTCCTGTACTGATAGTGTCTTTCTTTCGGAGTTCTATGCTGACATGACCTTAGACACTGATACTCAGGTAGAATCAGCAGAACGCACTTCAGCTATCACAAAGTCACTGAGGTCTCTTCGTTTCAGTCAGAATTACAGGCAACCAGGCCTGAACAACATTTTTATACCTAACCTGAAGTCTGCTAGAATAGTTTTTAATAAAGGGACAAGTAAAGGTTTTTTGCCAAGCTGAAAAGAGAAGAAAAGAAACAAAGCACACCTATGTGAATAATCCCTCATTTACCCAGGTATTTCCATTTTTTGTGCACTAGCTGTGGTGGTTTTGTGGTGTGCAGTGTGAGTAGTAACATCTGCTGCAGTGTGTTGGAAACTAGAGTTACTCTATGTGCGGTTATCTGCTGGAGACAGACAAACCTGCATCAGCTTTGCCATAAGATGATTTTTCTGTTCTGCACCTTTTCAGCTGACAAGGTTCTGCGAACGTGCTACCCGTGATGTGCTCTTTTGTCATGATTTCAAAGCGTGTTTATAACATGACCGAGGAGACATCAATTGCAGTGCCATTTTTGTGGATTGCTTCTTACCAAGTGGTGTATATACAGCTCATTGACAGCAGGTGGGGTTCATCGAAACCAATATATTGTGCTCTTTAAAAAGGAAATAAATAAAAAAGCAAGGCAAATGGGGACTGAATCCTCTTAGATAAATGCTCATCTTGGTGACAGCTCGTGTGCTAAAAGGCTTCTTTTCTCCACATGTACGGCACAAAGGACTGTCATCCTTGCTAACATTTTTTGTTTCTTTGGAAGTAGTGTCTCTGCAGCAAGCTAACAATTATCGAAGCATCGCCAGTTACTTATACCGCTACAGTAAATAGTAAGGCTGCAAGATAAATATAAATATAAAATGCCAATGTTTTCTTCTTGTATTAGAAAAGAACATAATTCTCTGCAATTCCAAAGCTGTATTAAGTGTAATGTTATTTAGACAAAGACTGGCATTTTCTTTTTGTCAGTTTTTTTTTTTCGTTCACAATTGTTGTGCTGTGTTATTCACTCTGGAATAATGTGGTGATAAATTTTGTGTTATAAACTGCTGAAAGCAAAAGGGTACTGCATACGTCTAACACAGTGGGCCGTTCTCTCCTGCCCCCTGAGTGCTAGTCTGATAAGCAGGGAGACAAAAAGGGGGCCGGTAACCTATATGGGGGGGGGGGAAGACAGCATGAATATCTTACATTAACACCTTTAAAATGTTTGCAAAAACAATGGGGACTGTCTCATTCCTGGCAGCGATATTTTAGTGTAGGAAATCCGTACACCGATTTCAGAGGCTGGGCTTTTTCTACAAGTGCAGTATGTCAGTGTCTGTCTTATTAAGGTGTAATATTATAAGATTTAAATGGATATTCATGTCTGTACTGTTCTTGGGATTAATAACAGTGTATTTTATAGGGTGATGATTGCCGGTCATTAATGACTGGGCGTTATTCAGAGCTGAGTGACTCAAATTTGTCAAAACTGCCCCAAGTCCTTGAAGCTCCTTGTTCAGTATTTGTTCAGGTGTTGCTTTTTAATTGGACTGCTTATATTGTGTCAGATATCTTCATGTTACCTTGCATGTGCTTGTGCAAAGGTTGAGGCTTCCTCGTTTAACTTTTGCCGCCTTTGTTTTGTCTTCTCCAGCGCTGCAAAGTCAACGGCATTTTCCACCTCAGTGCATTTCAATTATGCTAACCATGTCACAGTTTATCCCTTGCTCTGTTGAAAAATGACAGCCTTCAAACGGCAAGAGGTTATTCATAATACGTGTAAAAACTTTGAAATTTCCAGTTTGAGTGTCTTCAAAACGGTTAAAGGACTAGGAAACGTTCTTTTCCAAATTTTCAGCAACTAAAGTGGAACACCCTGTATGGCGTTCAAGGCATTTAAGACTTATCTCCTGTAAACTGTGTTGAAGGTGTCAGACTTTAAAAGTAAATTTACTTGAATGATTTCAATAATTTCAGAATTGTTTCATTACTTTCAGTTATGAGTTCCTCATAACTTCTATAACTGTGCTTGTTCCTGCTGTCAGTCATGGCGTTTCCCTGTATTAATGTTATTATGTAACACGACCCTCCTGTTCAGCCAGAGAATTCTGTTCGTTTCCAAACTTCAGCTTGTGTGGTCTTGCTGGTCTTCGTATAAGTACATACTGTAGATGCCCTGGTGCTGCATGCTTTATTCCTGAATGCAGAATATTCCTTTGTCAGTTACTGTCTTGGCATCTCCATTTATT